TGACAGCTCTTCCCCACTAATTCAAAAGTTTATAACTCGAAAAACAATTCATGATCGTAACCTCCGCGACGTCACAACTTACACAATACCCCGTCATCGAACAGCCCTATTTAAAAGAAGTTTTGTATATAATTATATTAAATTTTACAACTCTTCTCCTTTAGAATTAAAAAAATTAAATTTAAATTTATTCAAAAAATCCTATAAAAATATTACGTTGAAAATTTTGTTTGGGCTTAGATTTAATTTTTTTAATAATTCCTTAACAATAATAACTTTTTAATATTTTTTTTTTAGTAAATTTTTAATGTTATAATAATACTTGATTGTTTAATAATTAATCGCTGAAAAGATAAAGAAGCATAACTACAATTTAGTTATTTTACAGTTTGGTGTATAGCAAGGGCGGACCATTCATTCAAAAAATATGCTAAAAAGGGAATGCCCCCCCCCGAAAATTTGTCTTGGAGCCGCCTTTGGATAGTGCATTGCTTATGCATATTAATTTGTCATGTTATGTCAAGTATAAAGAGGAGGGATATGTCCCTTTGTCACATAGTAGATGTCCACTTTAACACATTTGTGGTAATCTTAATTCAAATTGGACATTTTTTGACTTAACCCTTTTAACTTTCTAGCAACGAATTGTTTAATATTTGTTTAATAATTGTTTGTTTAATAATTCGTCTTGGAAAGACAAAGATAAATAATTCCAATTTAACGATTTTACAGGAGACGCAATTAAACGTTTGGTGTATAGTGCATTGCGTATGCATATTAGAGCATATTAATTTTCCATATTATTTTTATTCATTTTTAATTTTCATTCACTTTTATTTACGTTTATTCATTTTTATTATTTTTTGTTCATTTTTATTGATTTAATTTTTATACATTTTTTAATATTATTAATTAATTTTTAATTTTTATCAATTTTAATTAATTTTTATCAATGTTTATTAGTTTTTTTTTGTTTAATTTTTATTCGTTTTTATTGAATCGATTTTTATAGATTTTTATAAATTTTATTAATTGTAATTTCTATTTTTTTTAATTTTCATTAATTTTTCATTAATGTTTATTAATTTTCATTAATTTTTATCAATTTTGATTAATTTTTAATAATTTTTTATTAATTAATTCTTATTAATATATATTATTTTTTATTTTTATTAACTTTTATTTTCTTTTATTAATTTTTATTAGTTTTTGTTTAATTTTTATTAATTTTTATTAATTTTTATTAGTTTTTTTTTTATTTGAATAAGTATTGATTTGATTTTAATTGGTTTTTATTGTTTTTTATCGATTTTTATCGATTTTTGTCGGTTTTTATCTTTTTTAAATCATCTTTATTGATTTTTATTAATTTTTATTAATTTTTATTTACTTTTGTTAATTTTTATTAGTTTTTTGTTCGTTTTTTTTTTATTTAGCAAAAGCAAAAATCGAAAAAATCAAAAAAATAAAAAAAATCGAAAAATACAAAAAAAAAATCGAAAAAATTAAAAAATCGAAAAATGGAAAAATCCGAAAAAATTAAAAAAATCGAAACAATTAAAAAATCGAAAAAATTAAAAAATTTAAAAAATTAAAAAATCGAAAAAAATTAAAAAATCGAAAAAATTAAAAAATCGAAAAAAATAAACAATCGAAAAAATTAAAAAATCAAAAAAATTAAAAAAATCTAAAAATTGAAAAATCGAAAAAATAAAAAATCGAAAAATAAAAAAAATCGAAAAATGGAAAAATCCGAAAAAAAAAAAAAAAAAAAAAAATTGGAAAAATTAATAAATCGAAAAATCCAAAAAATTAAAAAATCGAAAAAAATTAAAAAATCGAAAAAATTAAAAAATCGAAAAAATTAAAAAAAATCGAAAAATGGAAAAATTTGAATAAATTAAAAAATGAAAAAATCGAAAAAACGAAAAAAATCTAAAAATTGAAAAATCGAAAAAAATCGAAAAAATTGAAAATTCGAAACCGAAAAAAAAAAATGGAAAAATTAATAAATCGAAACATCCAAAAAATGAAAAAATCGAAAAAATTAAAAAATAAAAAATCGAAAAAATTAAAAAATAAAAAATCGAAAAAATTAAAAAATCTAAAAAATTAAAAAATCGAAAAAATAAAAAATCAAAAATTCAAAAAAATAAAAAAAAATAAAAAAATCGAAAAAATTAAAAAATCGAAAAAATTAAAAAATCAAAAAATTCGAATAAATTAAAAAATGAAAAAATCGAAAAAATTGAAAAATTAAAAAATCGAAAAAATTAAAAAATCGGAAAAATTAAAAAATCGAAAAAATTAAGAAATCGGAAAAATTAAAAAATCGAAAAAATTGAAAAAAAAAAAAATCTAAAAATGAAAAAATTCGAAAAATTAAAAAATCGAAAAATCAAATCGTAAAATCGAAAATAAACATAACACCCCCGGCACAGCGATGCGGCGTTGAAAGCCGTGCATCGTCTAACGTCGTTTCAGTTCGGCAGACTTCGGCACGGTGTTTGTGTGCGTGCGACTAGACGTATGCATGTAGATTAGCTGCTAACTGCTCATAACTGATTCTATCTCTTTTAGACACAATTTCGGAAAAATTGAATTTGAAAATGAATAATGATCCACAAGAATCCACAACAAAATATGGGACCACCATTGACGCGGTATTTTCCAGATATTTAGAGGATATCAAGTCTCAAAAGTTATGTTTCTTATTTCAGTTACCATAAACCTATAGTTTCAATGATAAAAATTCCTGAATAACCTGCATGTATTGTATGATAATAAAAATATTTTAAACAATATTAACTTCTCATTTATTCAATAAAAGAAAATGGAAAAATTGAAAAATGGAAAATCGAAAAAATTAAAAAACGAAAAATCGAAAAAATTAAAAAAATTGAAAAATCGAAAAAATGCAAAAATCGAAAAACCGAAAAATCAAAAAAATCGAAAAATCCGAAAAAATTAAAAAATAAAAAAAATCGAAAAAAAAAATCGAAAAAATTAAAAAATGGAAAAATCCGAAAAAATTAAAAAATCGAAAAATCGGAAAAATTGAAAAAATCGAAAAAATCGAAAAAAATTAAAAAATCAAAAAAATAAAAAAATCGAAAAAATTAAAAAATCGAAAAAATTGAAAAATCGAAAAATTAAAAAATTGAAAAAATTAAAAAATCGAAAAAATTGAAAAAACGAAAAAATCGAAAAAATTAAAAAATCGAAAAATGCAAAAATCGAAAAAATAAAAAAAAATTAAAAAATCGAAAAAATAAAAAATCGAAAAATCAAAAAAAAAAATATCGAAAAAATCGAAAAATGGAAAAATCCGAAAAAATAAAAAAATTAAAAATCGGAAAAATAAAAAATAAAATCGAAAAATCTAAAAAATTAAAAAATCGAAAAAAATTAAAAAATCGAAAAAAATTAAAAAATCGAAAAAATTGAAAAAATGGAAAAATCAAATCGTAAAATCGAAAAAGAAATTCCGTAACGAAAATAAACATAACACCCCCAACTCCGACCGGCACAACGATGCGGCGTTGAAAGCCGTGCATCGTCTAACGTCGTTTCAGTTCGGCAGACTTCGGCACGGTGTTTGTGTGCGTGCGACTAGACGTATGCATGTAGATTTGCTGCTAACTGCTCATAACTGATTCTATCTCTTTTAGACACAATTTCGGAAAAATTGAATTTGAAAATGAATAATGATCCACAAGAATCTACAACAAAATGTGGGACCACCATTGACGCGGTATTTTCCAGATATTTAGAGGATATCAAGTCTCAAACTTGTTTCTTATTTCAGTTACCATAAACCTATAGTTTCAATGATAAAAATTCCAGAATAACCTACATGTATTAATTGTAAGGTAATAAAAATATTTTAAACAATATTAACTTCTCATTTATTCAATAAAAGAAAAAAAATGTTTTCTTATCGGCCACCATGCTCAAAAAGTGTAACTTTTAAAATTAATATCAAAGAAAAAAAAATAATTATAATTGCGTTGATAAAAAATGCTATGCAATAGCTTTACCGCGGCAGTCCCTGTGTGCCACACGCATTTTTATTAATTTTTATTGCTTCTTATTGATTTGTATTGATTTTTATTGATCTTTAGTGAATGATTTTTATTGAAACGATCTCTTGGGAACCCATTATAAGCAGGAAAATAATGAGGAAATGAGATCCAACTACAAACTCTCTGAACAAAATTTAACTATGCCGCATTAAGTTCCAGATCTTACAATAGCAATAGAATTATTTATAAAAAGATTTGGCTAGCCATTAAAATTTCGAAAAAAAAAAGCATATTTTATCTTCATTTAACCAACTATGTATCTATAAACGTTAATGTATTTATAATGCACTTACATGCATTTAAATGCACTTTCATGCATTTTTATGTATTATTTTTATTCTTTTGTACTTTTATGTATTATGAATAATTTTTAGAAAGAAGATTTCAAACACTAGAGTCCTCAAAATATCGAACGAATCAATAAATTCGTCTTAAAAATAGGCATCTTTTATCTTTATTTAACCAACTTTATATCTATTATAAACATTAATGAAATCATCATAGCATTTTAATGTATTTATATGTATAAGTATAAGTATTTATATGCATGTTTTATGTATTTATGTTTTTTTTTTACATTTTTATGTATTACGTATTTTTTTGTATTTTTATGTATTTTGTTTGTATTTTATGTATTATGAATAATTTTTTGAAAGATTTCAAAAACTAGAGTCCCCAAAATTTCGAAAGAATCAACAAATTCGTCTTAAAATACGCATTTTTTCTTCATTTACCCAACTATGTATCTTTAAACGTTAATGAAATCCTTACATTTAATTAAATTCTCGCCACCCTGTAAATATTATTTATCTGGATTCACACCGATTAGCAGTTCTAAGATTTTAAACTTTTCAACGCTGTATAGCTTCAAAAAATTTACAGTAACCAAATTAATTCAACGTGCTCGGTACTCACCTAGTTTCGACAGCGTACCTTCTTCTTCATCAGGCGAAATAGTTTTCTCGACGACGAATTCGGCGTTGACGAAATTCAAGATGCCGGACTCGTCCATCGTGAAATGAGCTTTGATACCTTTAATATAAATAATAATTCTCGGTTATTGAACAGATTTGAACATTTTTCTTTATATTCATATATTAAATTAACATCCTGTACTTAATTGTTTATTTCGTATGCAGGTACTATAAATTTGATCCAATTTCACTTCAATTTAATGTTTATATTGCACATTTGGTGCAACAACGTCATAAGTGCAAAAATATTAGAAAGTGACTTTTTAGTAAAAAATACGCCTAATCTGCTTCTACAATTGTACACCAATGTAGTAAATATAACATACAGTATGGTTCAAATGAAAGGAATAAATTCATTATAATGGAAGTAGTTGGTTTTTTGAAAAAATGCTCGGACAGGTCAATTTTGTTTAATTAAAGCGCAATTTTTTAAATAGAATTCAATTTTCTCCCACTTCCCATTTTTGGGCAGTGACGTCATTGACAATTTTTTTAAATGGTAACCCCAATTTTTTTTTCTTGATTTTGAGAGATCATGCAATTTCCTACTCGGAAACATAATATTTGTAATATCTGACATAACAATTTTTTTCGAATAAAAGTCATTTAAAGATCAGATACATAAATTTTATTTTATTTTGAAACACAATAAATGAATAAAAAATTATTTGTAATTAAGTGCTTCATCTAAAAAAAAAAAAAAAAAAAATAATAATAAAAAGAATTTATTGACAATTTCACAAATTCTTTTTTATTATTATTATAATTATAGCACTTAATTACAAATAATTATCTTTTAATCAATTATTGTGTTCTCAAAATAAAATAAAATTTATGTGTCTAATCTTTAAATGACTTTTATTCAAAAAAAATTGTTATGTAAGATATTTCAAATATTATGTTTCCGAGTAGGAAATTGCAAGATCTAACAAAATCAAGAAAAAAAAATTGGGGTTACTATTTAAAAAAATTGTCAATGACGTCACTGCCCAAAAATGGGAAGTGGCTGAAAATTGAATTCTATTTAAAAATCTGCGCTTTGAGTAAACAAAATTGACCTGTCCGAGCATTTTTTCGAAAAACCAACTACTTCCATTATAATGAATTTATTCCTTTCATTTGAACCATACTGTATACAATAAATGAGCAATTATTCAATCATTTCACTTTTAATACAATTCAGTTTATAACGAACAAAACTTTCAAATGGGTTCCTTGCTTAGATTAAAGAGACCAGAGATATAACATACACCGGTGTTTAACCTGCGCAAATGTGACCCGAACTCTGTGGTAGGGACCGGACTTTGTTTATTAGCATCATAATGAACTATTAAATTTATTTAAAAGGTGTTTAATCGAATTTTGTATTATGAAATAAAATTAACGTGATTTTTTAATATCAAACAGATGCCACGACATTTTATGTAAAGAGAAGACCTTTTATAGAATATTTCGTTAGCGTTCATTTACTACGGACATTTCTGCAAGAGATTACAGTAAAATGTTGAAATAGAATATATTATTGATAGAGCAAAAAATGTTACTCATTGTCTACGAGTATTATAAAAATAGCATGTGCGCAGGCGAATACTGCAAATCTAACCTTATGAGTTGAACATTATATTTTTTCTACGGCTATTACATAATAATAAAAATTAGTCAAAATGAGAAAATGCTGTTTTGCATTATAACCTCAGAAAAAGATATGTTAAGGCTTTTTTCTTTAGGAATATTAATTATTATAAAGGATGAATCACATAAAACTCTAGAAATGCATATGTCTGAAACCAGATAACATTTTAAAATTTAAATCTATTAAAAGTAATTTGGTCGCTAGGGATGAGTGATTATTGAAATAAATTATCGATCATTGAAAATAATCGATTATTTTCGATCAATCGATTATTTTCAAATAACATATTTTTTTGTCATTTCCTTTAAAATCGACTACTTGATTATCTTTGAAAAATCAAAAATAATCGATTAATTAAAAAGCCAATTAACCGATAAATCAGTGTTTACAAAATATAATAAGAAAAGAATTATCGTTTATTTTAAATAATCATTTATTTTAAATAATCGATTATTTTCAAATAAAACATTTTTTTTTTCGTATGTGGAAACAGATTATTCGATAATTTTTAAAAAATCGAAAATAATCGTTTAATCAAAAATAATCGATTAATTAAAAAGTCGATTGACTGATAAATCGATTTTCAAAAAAAAACAGAATGATCGACTATTTTCGATCAATCGATTATTATCAATAATCTATTTTTATTGTATTTCCTTTAAAATCGATAATTCGATTATCTTTGAAATACCAAAAATAATAGATTATTCCTAAATAATCGTCTGTCGAAAATAACTAATTATTTCAGAAGCCGATTCTACGATAAATCGATTTTCCAAAAAATAACCGAATTATCGATTATTTTCTAATAATCCATTTTTTTCGTCCATTGAAACAGATTATTTGACAATCTTTGAAAAATCGAAAATAATCGAATAATCAAAAATAATCGATTAATTAATAAGTCGATTAACTGATAAATCAATTAAAAAAAAAAAAAAACAGAATTATCGAATATTTTAAATAATTGATTATTTTTCATCGATCGATTATTAACAATAATCTACTTTATTGTATTTCCTTTAGAATCGATAATTCGATTATCTTTGAATATCGAAAATAATCGATAATTTCAAAATAATCGCCTAATCGAAAATAACCAATTAATTAAACCGATTCTATGATAAATCGATTATTATCAATAATCTATTTTATTGTATTTCCTTAAAATCGATAATTCGATTAACTTTGAAATGCCGAAAATAATCGATAATTCCAAAATAATCGCCTAATCGAAAATAACCAATTAATTAAGAATCCGATTCTATGATAAACCGTTTTTCCAAAAAATAAAACGAATTATCGATTTATTTTCTAATAATCCTTTTTTTAATGTTTCCTTTAAAATTGATTATTCGATTATCAAAAATAATCGATTATGAAAAAGCTGATTAACCAATAAATCGATAATTTTAAAAAATAACCAAAATATCGGTTATATAAAATAACCGATTATATTCAATCGAATAATGAAAAAACCGATTGAACGAAAATCGATTATTTTGAATAAATCTACTTTTTTTGTATTTCCTTTAAAATCGATAATACATTATCTTAAAAAAACAAAAATAATTTATTAAAAACAGCGGATAAATCGATTTTTATAAAAAAATATGGGTCATTCTCAGTTAAGCCGTAAATTCGACGTGCATAACAAAAAATCACCTTTTTTAAAAAATTTTATTAAAAAGAATGTTATTTTCTCTTAAAACTCGTGCTCATATAATTGGTCACTCAAATTCATTTCTTAATTTTATTTAATTTAGTCACAATTTCACCTCAAAGTCGGAAAACATCTCTCCCCTGGCTTGTCCCCGGGCCGATTCTGTTTATTTATTTGTAATTTTAAGTACTTGAAAATCAAATAACTTATTTAAATTATACATTTCAACAAAATAATTTAAATAAATTATCGTAATCAAGCAAGTAAAATTGCGTGATATTTTTTTTTCTTAAAAAAAAATTACGTTTGTCCCCCGTATTTTGCGTCTCGTCCCCTGGCACGCTTATTTTTGTGTAAAATCGGCATTTGTTTACTGACTTGCGGGAATTGAAGACCTTGAGCGAAAGTTGTTGAGTGTATAGTTTGTAATCAGAGCCACTCGAACTAGGTGCGCAGTCATTTAGTCATTTATTTCGTTACTGGCACTCTGTGCATATAGTTGACAACGCGTGAACGGAGTCTCTCCCCTAGTAAGTTTTATTTTTAAAATATTCATCTAAAAATTTTAATTCATTCGTATATTTACTTCTCGTTGTGTATAGATTCTAACTTTTTTTGGTTAATTTCATACAATGAATATATTTGTCATTATTTCTATTTTTGTTACTAAAAAGTATCTCCCCTGTTTATATCTCCCCTGTCTTGTAAGGGCCAGGAGAAGACACGATATCCAGGGGAGATATGAAAACTTTAAAGACTAATTATTATCAATTAATTATTGATAAATAAAATTATAAAATGACTGAATAAAGTTAATACTTCAATAAAATGTTGTTTTCTTTCATAAAATAATGTTAAAATCCTTTCTCTAATCACAAAGTATTCTACTCTGTACATTAAGTCTCTCCCCTGGATGAGTATCTCCCCTGGCAACTTATAAAACGAGATAAAATCAATAAATTGACTGACCGTCTTGCAGGCACGTTTGAAATGATTATTTTGATCGAACCATTGTAAAATTTGATTTCAATTTCAAAATTTTTGTCGTGCCGCGTTTTATCAATAAGCGATTTACGTCTCAACTGAGAATGACCCATATCAGAATTATCGATAAATCGATTATTTTTGTAACCCCTATCGGTCGCTTGCTTTTATCTTAGCATATAGCTCAAAAATTTAGAGATTCGGATTTTTTGATCCCGTTATCTTTGAAACAGCATTCGATTGTATAATAAATATTGCTAAATTTTGGATTTTTTTTCGTAAACGAAAATTTTGTTCGAGCTGTTTAGAGGTTTGTAATGTAACATTTTATTAATGTGACCAACTCCCGTAACTTTAGTATTTTTTTTTTGCTTATACTAAATCATATGGTGCGGTTTACTTTGTTTTAAGACTGAAGATTCAAATGTCACTTTCGATTTGACCGCAAATAAGATGAACCTTGTAATTTTAAGTAGGTCATCCTGTATTTCATCTAATATTCTTATAAAAATAAAATTTAGCTAGCAACTATGATTCTTTACTTCATATTTATCTACCAAAAAGGGCTTAAAATCACCTTTAGAAAACATTCTTATAAAACTACAAAATTTTGTTAGCAACAATGCCTATTTAGTATTTATTTAAATTAAATGTTCAAAATTTTATCTTTTTGTAAATTTATGTAAGTAATATGAAATCTGATTTCTAATGCTTAATATTTATTGAAACCCCTTAATGCGGATCTGAAGTATTCAGCCCAGAGAATCATGGCGCTTTATGTCAAAACGTTAATAAATATTTACCGCTGAAAACGAATATATTCATAACAGTAGTACTTGTATTATAAGTACATAAAATTTTTCAAGATACATCGTGACATTTTGAACATGAAATTGAATAACTAAAACACTTTAAATTGCTAAAATACCAACAAATAAATCAAAAAACAGCTGTCAATGGTGATTAAACTCAGGTGGAGGTGATCGATGAATGGAAAAATCGGAGCAATTCGGGTGGCGTCGTGCAAACAATGATTTTTAATTGGTGGGTTTCTTTGGGTTAAAATAGACAACATGCGCAGTGTGCAATGTTACATCTTCGGTCTCTTTAATCTAAGGTTCCTTGTAAAAATAGATTTTTGCACCGGATGTATGATATATTGTATTTTCAAAACATTGAACGGGAGATAAAAATTGAAATATTTTTTAATGTACATTTAAATTATTATTTTATTTAATGTGATATTATAAATTTAGATTCAAATTAAAAATAAACAGATTCATATGGTAATAATTACACAAATTTCCTTTGAATCTAATCCACGGTGCTTGGATACCAACTTTAAATGAAAAGTTTATTTACTAGACTTTTTTTTCGGTCAAAGTATTTCTGAAGGACTATAGATTGGCGCAATATATTTTTTAAAATCGTTCCAGCAGCCGTTTTTGAGAAAACTCGATTTTTAATGAAAAAGTGACCTTTTTTTTTACTTTTTGGCTTGTAACTTGCGCATTTCAGATTTTCTCGGCTTGCCAAAAGTAAATTTCAATGGGAAAATGTCCGCTCTACAAAAAAGCATCAATGACTTTTTTCTCTTAAATCAGCCGATTTGAGATCTCATTTAACTCAAAATCGGTTGATTTTAGAGAAAAAATTCATTGATGCTTTTTTGTAGAGCGGACATTTTCCCATTGAAATTTACTTTTGGCAAGCCGAGAAAATCTGAAATGCGCAAGTTACAAGCAAAAAAGTAAAAAAAAAGGTCACTTTTTCATTAAAAATCGAGTTTTCTCAAAAACGGCTGCTGGAACCGATTTTAAAAAATATATTGCGCCAATCTATAGCCCTTCAGAAATGCTTTGACCGAAAAAAAAAGTCTAGTAAATAAACTTTTCATTTAAAGTTGGTTCCGAAGCACCGTGAATCATGGTCCTTCGAGCAAAAACTATAAAATAACTTTGAAATTCTATTGAATTCTGTTAAAAATTATCATTCAGTCTAATAGACTTTCGACTAAAATCATTTTGTACTGTATACAATATTATGGTTATAAAAAAAAAACACGAATTGAATTAAAAAATAAATAAAAAAAATGTTTTTTATACCTTTAGTTTCGACATTCTCGCCCGTATTTTTCTTCAAAGCGTCGGCGACGCCGATCAAATGGTATTCGGATATGTTGGGCGAGCCCAAGTACTCGCGTTCTTCGGCCGGTAAGTTTTCAAGATCGGCGTAATTGACGTTGAAACTGAAATCGCTCGTGTGTTTGTTGAAAGTGATGATTTTTTTCTGCGGATACGGATTCATCGAACCGAATAAGGTGCGTTTTACTTGTTTCGTACCTTCTTCCGTGGATCGTTCAAAGGTAACCTTAAAAATATGTTTTTTTTTTTTAATTATTATAATTATTATTATATGAGGCTTAAAATGTGCCGATTTAACAAAATTATCGATATCTTTCAGAATACAGAAGAGTCGATTGTAAAAATGCCATTTCAAAAAAAAGTAAAAAGAATCGACTGCAAAATATTTAAGAGTAAAAAATATTCAATTAAAAAATGTGTCGATTTAAAAAATAATCGATTGTAATAAGTATTAATTGTAAAAAAACGATTCCTTTCAAAAAAAAATTTTTTTTTTCATTTTACGATCGATACTGTTTACAATCGATTCTTTTTTACTATTATTACTACTCAGTAGATTTTTTACAATCGATTTTTTATAGTAGATACTTATGCAATCAATTCTTCTTATAATTCACTACAAGTGAAACTTTTTTTACAATCGATTCATTTTATAATCGATACTGTTTACAATCGAGTCTTTTTACTATTATTACTGCTCAGATTTTTTACAACCGATTCTTTTTATAATAGATACTTTTTGCATTCAATTCGTTTTACAATCCACAAAAAGTAATTTTTTTTTGGAATCGATTCTGTTTTACAATCGACACTTTTTACAATATTTATTCTATTCATTTTACAATCGATTTTAACGATTGATTCTTTTTATAACATACTTTTTCCACTCAATTCTTTTACAATCCACTACAACTGATTATTTTTTTACAATCGATTCTTTTTTATAATAGACACTTTTTACAATATTATTATATTTTATATTCGATTCATCTTACAATGGATACTGTTTTACTATTATTACTGTTCTGTAGATTTTTTACAATATTTAATATTCGATTCATTTTTCAATCGATACTGTTTACAATCGACACTTTTTTACTATTATTTCTGTTTAGTAGATTTTTACAAAAGATTCTTTTTTACTATTATTACTGCTCAGTAGATTTTTTTAAAATTGATTTTAACGATCGATTCTTATTATAATATATACTTTTTGCATTCAATTCGTTTTACAATCCACTAGAAGTGATTCTTTTTTACAATATTATTATATTTTATATTCGATTCATTTTACAACCGATACTTTTTACAATCGATTCTTTTTTACTGCTATTACTGTTCAGTAGTTTTTTTTAATTTGGTGTCATCGGCATCGACTACTGCGGCCATCAGCCTCGTGTTCTGTGTAGGCTTTGTTACTGTTTCCCAGCGCCACTTTAGGAACAGTACTGTTAATTAGAACCCAGAATGGTCGAGTGGGGAATCCTACCTATGCTTTAGAATTAATATTTAATTTTTTTCAATTAAATAAAAATTCCTGCCACCGGTGGGATTCGATCCTGAGACCTTCCGATCTCAGAGTCATGACTCTAACCACTGAGCCAACCCACCCCCAGTAGATTTTTACAATCAATTCGTTTTACAATCCACAATCGATTCTCTTTTACAATCGACACTTTTTACAATATATTTTATATTCTATTCATTTTATAATCGATACTGTTTACAATCGATTCTTTCTTACTATTATTACTGCGCAGTAGATTTTTAACAATTGATTCTTTTTATATAAGATACTTTTGCCAATCAATTCTTTTTAGAATTCACTACAAGTGATTATTTTTTTAAAATCGATTCTTTTTACAATCGATACTGTTTACAATCGATTCTTTCTTACTATTATTACTGCGCAGTAGATTTTTACAATCCACTACAAGTAATTATTTTTTACAATCGATACTTTTTACAATATTATTATATTTTATATTCGTTTCATTTCATAATCGATACTGTTTACTATCGAGTCTTTTTTACTATTATTAGTGCCCAGTAGATTTTCAATCCATTCTTTTTTACTATTATTACTGCTCAGTAGATATTTTACAATCGATTTTAACGATCAATTTTTTCATAAATATTTTTTGCAATCAATGCGTTTACAATCCACTACAAGTGATTATTTTTTTTCCTAGGATTCTTTTTTACAATCGACACTTTTTACAATATTATTATATTTTATATTCTATTCATTTTACAATCGATACTGTTTACGATCAATTATTTTTTTTTCAATTATTACTCCTCAGTAGATTTTTACAATCGATTTTAACGATCGATTCTTTTTGTAATCAATTCTTCATACAAACAAGTGATTCTTTTTTTACAATTGATTCATTTTTACAATCGATACTTCTTACATTATTATATTCGATTCATTTTACAACCGATACTGTTTACAATCGATTTTTTTACTATTATTACTGCTCAGTACATTTTTCACAATCGATTTCAACGATCGATTCTTTTTTACAATCGACACTTCTTACAGTATTATTTTATTTTATATTCGAATTATTTTACAACCGATACTGTTTACAATCGATTCTTTTTATAATAGATACTTTTTGCAATCAATTCTTCATTGCAAGTGATTTTTTTTACAATCGACACTTCTTACAGTATTATTTTATTTTATATTCGAATTATTTTACAACCGATACTGTTTACAATCGATTCTTTTTATAATAGATACTTTTTGCAATCAATTCTTCATTGCAAGTGATTTTTTTTACAATCGACACTTCTTACAGTATTATTTTATTTTATATTCGAATTATTTTACAACCGATACTGTTTACAATCGATTCTTTTTATAATAGATACTTTTTGCAATCAATTCTTCATACAATCCATTGCAAGTGATTTTTTTTACAATCGACACTTCTTACAGTATTATTTTATTTTATATTCGAATTATTTTACAACCGATACTGTTTACAATCGATTCTTTTTATAATAGATACTTTTTGCAATCAATTCTTCATACAATCCATTGCAAGTGATTTTTTTTACAATCGACACTTCTTACAGTATTATTTTATTTTATATTCGAATTATTTTACAACCGATACTGTTTACAATCGATTCTTTTTATAATAGATACTTTTTGCAATCAATTCTTCATACAATCCATTGCAAGTGATTTTTTTTACAATCGATTCTTTTTTACAATCGACACTTTTTACAATAGATTACTTTTTACCATCGATTATTTTTTTACCATTAAAACTTTTACAATCAACTTTCTTTATAATATAGACTTTTTGCAATCAATTTAATTTATAACCCATTCTTTTAGAATCGATTTTTTCCTTTACTACGATAATTTTTTCCATATTACACTTGATATTATTTAGATACTGTTTACAACCGATTCATTCTTTACAATCAATTCCTTGTTTACAATCGATTCTTCCTTTACAAACGATTCTTTTTTACAATCAACACTATTTACAATTGATTCTTTTTACTATTAATACTTTTTACAATCGATTTTACAGCAGATTTTCCACAATCGACTTTTTTAGTTCATAAAAGATTTGATTGTAATGTATGTCGATATTAAAAAAAATAAATCCTTGGAAAAAAACCGTCTGTAAAAAATCGATTATAGACAGCATCGATAATAAAATGAACGAAAGTGTTAATTGTAAAAAGAACCGGTGGTTAAAATGGATTATAAAAAATCGACTGAGTAGTATTAATGGTATAAAAGAATCGATTGTAAACAGTATTGTTCAAAAATGTGTCGATTGTAAAATAAGAATACATGCAAAAAAATTATCCGTAGAAAAGAATCTATTCTAAAAGAATTGGTTGTAGAGAAAGTTGATTGTAAAATTAATCGACTGTAAATAGCAATCGATCGTAGAGGGGCGAATGTAAACAAAGAATCGATTGTAAAATATATTGTAAAAAAAAAATAATTTAAAAAATCAACTGAAAAGCATTAATCATAAAAAATAATCGATTGTAAATAATGTCGATCGTAAAATAAATTTATTGTAAAGATAAAATCGATTATAACAATATCGAGTGTAATGAGTAAAACTTATTGATTGTAAAGGAAGAATCGATTCTAAGAGAATTGATTGATTGATTTCAAAAAACTGATTGTGAAAAATTCGTTGTAAAAATCGATTATTAATAAAAAAAAATCGATTGTAGTCAATATCGATCGTAAAATGAATCGGATATAAAAAATAATCTACTGTAAAGTGCAGATCGATTCTTTGCTTCTATTAATACTTTTAATATTGATTTTTGCTACGTATTTTTCACAATCAATTATTTTTATAATAAGCACTGTTTACTATCAATCGATTTTACAACTAATTCTTTTAGAATCGATTCTTCTTTTACATTTGATAATTTTTACATTACACCCGAGATTGATTTCTAATGATACTGTTACAACCGATTATTTCTCTACAATTCATTCTTTCTTTACAAATGATTGTTTCTTTACAATACGTTATTTTTTACAAACAACGCTCTTTACAATCGATTTATTTTTCGACCTTTACGGTTGACAATCGATTCTTTTCATATTTTTCTAAAAATAATCAATTCTTTCTCAGACTTAAAAAATTGATTGCAATATTTGACTATAAAAAAAGATTTGGAACAAATAATGGATAGCAAAAACTATCAACAACAACGAATCTATTGTAAAAGAATGGATTATGTAAATACATTGTAAAAATAAACTGTGAGAATTGATTGTAAAAAGAATCGATTTTTTCTCAGAGTGCATAAAAATCATGTAAAAAATGTATCGCAAAAATGTCGAAATTAAAAACAATCGATTGTAAAAAAATAATAGATTGCAAAAATACGATTATGAAAAATCTATTGTAAAAATCGCCTATCAAAAGAAACGATTGCAAAAACTATTAATTATCAAAAATAATCAATTGTAAAATGTGACGATTCAAAAAAAAAAAAAGAATCGACTGCAGAACGTATCAATAATGAAGAAAGAATGGATTATGAACAATCCATTGTTAAAAAAATCGACTGTAAAAAGTATTAATAGTAAAAAGAGTTGATTGGAAAATAAATCGATTGTAAAACGTTCCCATAATAAAAATATAGATCGCATAAAGTGTCGATTGTAAAAAGTATCCAATATAAAAAATTGACAGAAAAAAAAATCGATTAGGCCATTAAGGGAAAATCCGTAAAATTGTACAATTTTCGAGTTATTTTTTTAAGAAAATACCCGTTTTTACACGTGTTTTGCCAAAAAAAAAGTATTTCCTTCAGATTCGTGTTCAGCTATCCAAAAAAACAAAAAGATACCAAATATCACATTTAAGTCAAACAAACTCACACTCACCTGTACTGGATAAACGACGGCATCTTTCGTGATAAATTTGGCAACTTTGAAACCGGTGCTTAAGTCGGCGGCTTTGTAAACGGCGCCCATAGCCGCTGCCTCGTCTGTATTTAAATTTTTGGCAAGTTCCTGTCCTACGAATTTTTTCAAATGCTCTTGGACTTTCGGTACTCGAGTACCGGCACCCACCAGAACCACGTGATTGACGACGTCCATGGTCAAATGCGCGTTTTTCAAAGCTTGTTCTACGGGTCTACTGACTCTTTCGAATAGATCCTTAAAATGTAAAAAAAAAAACAAATAAAAATATACAGTGTGTCTACTTAAGTTGGAACCATATGGAAAACATTTTTATTATTGATTTTAGGAAAAAAAGTTCTTGATAAAAACTCCTGCGTGACCCAAAACTTAAAATACAGTCATCAGATATCAAATTTTTGGAAAAATCCGCCAACAGTCGAACGGGCTATTTTTTTTATTTTTTTTTTAAACGATTTTAGACCTTCTGAAACACATTTCAAAATACTTTTTTTGCCATGCAAACGCTATAAAATATTTTTTTCTTACCTTAAAACTATTAAAATGTGTCCTCCAATTTCGATGTTGAAAAAATTTAAACTACATCATTTTGATTAATTTCTTGTTATAGAAACTGCTAAATAATTACACTAGACCATCCATAATGCAATAAACCATCCAAATTTTCTCGTAAATAGTATTATTTTCTTAATTTACGACCAAGTTAAAATTCGTCAAAATGATCAAATTTTCATAACCGCAATGACAATTAACATTGGCAGTGTGACATGTGTCTAAAAGAAATACAATGTTGCCATATCAATTATGTATTACATAGCAATGGTAATTTTTACCTATGCCCTGCGTTGTACCAGGCCAACCAATTGACTTCAGTATTAGAAAAATTATATAAAACTAACAATTTAAAAAATACCCATATCAAGATCTTCTTCCTCACCCTCATCGGCAGAATACTCTTCGACGTCAATATTGATATTTTTTAAATTGCAAGGATTATACAATTTTCCCCTCCAGTTTTAAAAACTCTTCAACTAACCGAACCTAACCAACCCTCATTAGCGTCTGGCCCGTAAACCTCGATCCCAACTTTTAACGAACATGTCTTGTATCGTGGGCATCTAATAATAAGAAAATATACAATAAGAAAATGAAGGAACGACTTCTTGTAAGGTGGCGGCTTCGCCGCCACCAGAAAATTTTAAAACCATACCTGGCTACGCCGACCGGCATAAACTCCAACGGCCTGGACACAGCTCAAATTGAAAAACCTAACCTAACCAACCCTCATTAGCATCTAGCCAGTGAACCTCGATCCCAACTTTAAATGAACGTGTTTTGTATCGTGGGCATCTAATAATAAGAAAATATACAATAAGAAAAGGAAGAAAGGACTTCTGGTAAACCATACCTGGCTACGCCTACCGGCATAAACTCCAACGGCCTGGACACAGCTCAAATTGAAAAAAAACCTAACCTAAGCAACCCTTATTAGTGTCTAGCCAGTGAACCTCGATCCCAACTTTAAACAAACGTGTTTTGTATCGTGGGCATCTAATAATAAGAAAATATACAATAAGAAAAGGAAGAAAGGACTTCTGGTAAGGTGGCGGCTTCGCCGCCACCAGAAAATTTTTAATCCATACCTGGCTACGCCTACCGGCATAAACTCCAACGGCCTGGACACAGCTCAAATTGAAAAAAAAAAAAAACCTAACCTTACCAACTCTCATTAGCGTCTGGCCAGTGAACCTCGATACCAACTTTTAACGAACGTGTCTTGTATCGTGAGCATCTTATAATAAGAAAATGAAAGAACGACTTCTTGTAAGGTGGCGGCTTCGCCGCCACCAGAAAATTTTTAAACCATACCTAGCTACGCCGACCGGCATAAACTCCAACGGCCTGGACACAGCTCAAATTTAATTTTTTTTTTTTAATTTTAGGTAAGTACCGACATGCCGTAATTAACGTACAATCATCATGAAATAAAATAAAAAGACGGTTATCTGTGATTACTACAAATGTTTTCACTTTGAGATCCAAATTTACCTGCTGGCCAGACACTATGTAATTTTTCAGCCAACTTTCACTAACCGAACTATTTCCTGACTTATATGTTTTCTTACTCGATTTGGCAACACCGCATTTATAGAAACTAGACACATCAATTGTCATTAAAAATAATTTAATGTTTATTTATTTTTCTAACAAACTTAAAATGAAAAATAAGAAAATTTGATCGTTTATGAAAAAATTTGGTACGGTTTAATGCTCTATGAATGGTCTTATATTGATATTAGCCGTTTCTACAACAAGAAATCAGTGAAAATGGTTTATTTCACATTTGTTTTATGATGGAGACCCAACAACAAATTTTAAGGATTTTCAGGATTTTAAGGTAAATTTTTTTTTTTTAAATAAGTGTTAGCGGACCTAAAATTGTTATGCATAGTGTGTTTCCAAGTGTCTAGAAACTCTTTATAACATTTCAATAGTTATATCCGCCGTTCGAGTGTCGTGACAAGCCGTATACGAGGTTTGTCAAAAAATATGAATTTTGCTCAAGAGTAAAGTACGTTTATTTTTTTACAAAATCGAAAATTTTCATTAAGAAATTTGCTAAATTCTTCACAAACATCAACAAAAGGAAAGCGTATCATGTTTATAGTAGCTAACGTAATTTATAACGTTTTCAGATATTTACAATCGATGTGTAGAGTTTATAAAAAATAAGAAAATCTGTTTTTTCAGATAGATCGGTGTAATTGCATATTTGAATGTAATATTCAATTCTAATCAACTTTTCTTAATGAAAATTTTCGATTTTGTCAAAAATAAACGTACTTTACTCTTGAGCAAAACTAATATTTTTTGACAAACCTCGTATACGGCTTGAAAAATTTGATATGTGATGACTGTATTTTAGGTTTTGGGTCATGCAGGACTTTTTATCAAGAATAACTTTTTTTCCTAAAATCAATAATAAAAATGTTTTCCATATGGTTCCAACTTAAGTAGAGTCACTGTATATACAAATTTTGTATAAAGTATTTTAAGCTAAACGGTTTTATAAAAAATATAATTAATTTTATACAGTTTACAGACAACATAATTCTCTATCTATCAAAAAATTAACCTTTCAAACTAATCTAAAACCCAATAATAAATCCAATAAAATGAAATAATTTCTTGCAATAGCCACAAAGTAGATTAAAAAAATTATAATTTTTTTTTCTTATTTTACTTTTATTTTTTTTTTATTTTTCAAATAATTCGTATATTTTTCATAGACCTTATTTACTATCTCTGAATTTAACAAATATGTTTAATTTTTCCACATGATGCTGATAATATAATAAAATTAAACAAGAATGCGCTAGTTCAGTGATGATGTAATTATGGTTCCACTGACAATTAAAGTGACAGTAGATTTTTTGAGTGCGTTTTGCTTACCTAAATTATATCGTTTTTTTCACTTTTATAAATATATTCCTAAAGTAAGAAGATAACATGCATCAAATATACAATCGTTTAGTTACCAATTACATACCTTTAAACAATTTTTTATGACCTGTAAACAATATTTTGAAATAAAATAAAAACATGTCAAATTTATTGATGTTTTCGTTAAAAGTTTGGTTACAATTAAATGTCAGTGGAACCAAAATGACATCACAATGAACTAGGGCATTAAATCACTGGTTTCTTCGGGTAGGTTTCTTTTTGTTTATTTACCTACTTATTAAAATTGGTTGTTAAATAATAAATAAATGTATTTGCAGTTCTTTAAAGTTGTCATCATATACTAATTTAATACAAAAGAGTTAACATACCAAACTATATTGTCACTCTTTATTAAATTCAAGGACTAAAATAATATCATGTATATAAATATTATCTAATTTTCCTCTACAAACTCTTCCTAAAAGTAAAATTTTATGCGAAAAGGTAATTGTGCTAAACATTAAAAAACATAGGTATCTTAAAAACTCACATATGAGTCATCCGCATTTGACTAAAACGATATTTTGACGCTCAGGCGCGATTAGTATGGAACGTATTAAACAGAAGTAAAATAACAGTAAACCATTTAATGATACAAAAATATAATCTGGGACGCACAGGAGATACTCCGCGTGGCGAATTCTGGTCACGGATCTTGGTAACAAAGGCTAATTTATGTATGACTCTGCAACACACTCAGAAGTAACTTGGCATTTAGATACATACCAAGAGCATGGCGAAATATTAGGGTCACTTTTATACCAAAACCTGACAAAATCGGACTGAGAACGGCAGAGTTCCTAAGACCAATAAGTCTAATGTCTTTCGTACTGAACACTTTAGACAAATTGCTAGATTCAAAGACTAATAAACCAAGACCAATACGCCTATAGTGCAGGAAAATCAACAGAAACATCTCTTCATCAATTAATAAAAAGGGTAAAGAACACACTGGAAAACAAGGAGATAATGTTAGGAACTTTCTTGGATATCGAGGGAGTATTTTACAATACCTCTGTAGGCCTTATCATCAGAACTCTGAAACCTAAAGGAATCGAGGACACAATGTCATGTGTGACCTGGATAGACTCTATGCTGAGGGAGAATAATACATGCAACCATTATGGGAGAGACGATAGCAGCTCGGGCTGCAAGAGGATGCCTACAGGAAGGAGTGCTGTCTGCATTCCTGTGAAACCTGGTCATGGATGGGCTGCTTAGGACTCTCAAAAATAATGGACGTAAACTCTGGAATATGCCAATGATCTAGGGTAAATACAACAGTACAGTTAGAAACAGTATACAACAGGCTCCAAACATAGTAACAAAATGGACAGAAAAGGAAGGACTAAAATTTAGTCACAACAAATCCACCATAATTGTATTCACGCGTAGGAGAAAGTTAGATGAACTAGAAACGCTAAACCTCCGAGGTGAAAACGTCCAGCTAAAGGGAGAGGTAAAGTATCCTTTGGAAAAAAATGGGGAGTGAAACAAAGTATGGTATACTGAACATACAATATGGGGTGGTAAGACTGATAATAACATACGCAGCTTTGGTGTAGTAACCAAAGACACAACAGAGAGCGGCAAAAATGAGACTAAGCAAGATATAAAGACTCGCCTGTCTTGTAATAACGGAGGCAATGAGAACAACCCCCACAACAGTAATGGAAGTACTGATAGGCTTCACTTTGTGATACAAGGGGAGGCAAGATTAGGTGCTTATAGATTAGGTAGGGAAATCTTAGCATTAAATCAGGACAGGGATTCTTATGTGCGAACTCAACACGTTACGTGTTGAATAGAGAGAGACATTACTTAAGAATCGCATTCTGTCAAAGATAAGCGTCTCGACATGTGACGTAGTGAAAGATGATAATCCCACTGCTTGTCACATAAGTATTACAAGATTAGTGATAGAGGACGTGCTAGACATGAGAACAGATCACATAACCAAACGTTACTCCTTAGTCGAGATTTTAATAACAAACAGAAAGGAGATCACTACAAGGGAACCTAGTGTTGAAGACACTAGGGCTGGAGTATTCTCCATAAACTCCAGCACAAACCTTACCTATGTAATAGGAAGAGACACTATTTCAGGCTAAGGTTTATGCTATTTTGCAATGTGCAAGAACAAACAATAGGAGAGCTGTCTCAAATAAGCAGATCGAAATAATGTCAAAGCCAGCCGGCCCTTGAGTCAGAAAGTGACTTCGAGACTGGTATGAGATTGAATCAAAGAACTGAGATCATTGGTAGATCGAAAAATAGGAAAACTAGTTTAGATACCAAAACATCAAGGGATCGAGAAGTCGCAAAGAGAGGGTCAAAAGAAATACCGGAATCAGATATAAACCTTGGAGTAGCAAAACGTACAGATTGAGGTTTCATAAATAACTGGGTTCGGAGAAAACACAACAACTGTTGGAATAATATTCCTAAACAAGCAAATGGGAAGACCTTTATAGGAAGATGATGTTCAAAAAGAACAGGAGTACTACTCTCTATGAATAGGAACCAGTTGAAAACAATAATAGGACTCATGACTGGGCATGCCACAATTAAAGGGACACCTGAACAAAATAGGCGTGTATAATGGAGACCTATTGTGTCGACACTGTCACAAGGAACCAGAAAAGGCCAAAGATATACTGTGTAATTGCGAGGTATTGGATTACAAAAGATAGGTACTTTTTGGACAACCCCAGATTGATCCAAGAACCTGTAGAACACGCCCTGTCAAGGACTTGTACAAGGGACTAAAGTGACTACTATGAATAAATATGGGTCAAATATAATAGGCCATTAGAATTCAGTGTTGTCAAATACTAAGTCAGCTGAGAGCCCTGGAAAAAAACCATTGGACGTATTTTGTCAGACCTATATTAGACCAGTCCGGGGTCATGCTCTGATTAGGACTGGGCAATTATCAAAATAAATAATCAATTATTTAATTAATCGATTATCGTTTCAATATAATTAATCGATTATTATAGATTATTTAGTCAATCTATTATTTTCGATTAATCAATTAGTCGATTATATTGTCTTAATTGATTGCTTTTGATTAATCGAGATATCGATTATTTTCCATTAATCAATTATTTTCTTATAATCAATTATTCAAAAAATCGATTATTCGTTAAATTGATAATTTAGGAATAATCGATATATCGATATTATTTGATTTTTAATCTTATATTCGATTGTTAGTAAATAATAATAAAAAACTAAACTTTGGAATAATTTTCAATGAAAAATTGTTATATACAACACATTTTTTTATTAGATTGAGGAAAAATCTATTTGTTTTTCCTTTTATTAGAATATTCTCATACATCGATTAATCATAATCGAATACAATAATTATCTTTGAAAAATAGTAATTATTGATTGATTGAAAATAATCGATTGATCGAAAATAATCGATTAATCAAAAATAATCGATTATACGAAAATAATCGATTAATCTAAAATCATCGATTATTCGAAAATATTTGAATAATCAAAAATAATCGATAACTCACACCTTTATATCGGATCTGTTCTTCTTTGTTTTAGTTGAGGTTTTTTAAGATCTCCATCTTTCTCGTTAACAAAAGTATTTTTTACAATAAGTCGAGCTCCGAAACCTCTAAACCTACGTTCATGCCCATTAGTCAAAGAAACCGTCATCTACTGATATTCTAGAAAATACCGAAGGCACCAGACTAATAAATGTTGGATTCTTTAATGTATGTTGTGGTTGTATTGGATAGAATTGTGGTATTAAGTTCTGGCGAATGCGCAAAGTATTCGAGAAACACCATAATGGGTGTAAATAAACTGTTTTGCAGTTGAAAAGGGTGTTTAAGCTGATAGATCGTTAAGTACACACAAATATTGTCTATATAAATTAGTATAGCATTAAGTATAAATAATGTAAAACTGTTTCTAAATAAATAAATATTACAGTACAGTACAGAAGTTTAGAAATTTGTTAAATTTATTTTCTTGATCACGATTGAGGAGTCGTGTCAGAATCAATAGTAACAAAGTAAATATGTTTTATTTAAATTATTGTTTATCATCCTGGATAAACCAATTGATTTGTCAAAATAATAAAAATTGCCTTGTCAAAAATAAAATTTGTATATAATAAAAAAAGAGAAAAATCTGAATATTAAAATACAATGTAAAACAGTAAAAAAACATTTAGCACTTACCTGACATAATTCTTCAAATGTTTCCCTCGTAACGGGAAGCTTGAAATCTTTCTCGTCTAATAACCCTTCTATTTGTGCTGGATGTTCAGCGTTTGCAGACAAAACGTTCTTCAACCGTCCAGCTTCTTTAAACAACTTCGCCATCGATCTGTCATTCTTGAAAACGTCGTTTTTCGTCTTCTTCATTTCGTTGAACTTCTTAGCCAAATAATTTCTAAGTCTGATTTGCATTTCCAACCCGCCCAGCGTTCTATCGATTCCAACACCAAGGATGGTTGATTGCGGGTGGATTTCGACGTAGGGCTTATCTTTGGTTTTTACTGATTGGTAACTGACTAGGGTAGCTGTTGTGGAAGAGGCTCCCATATCGTAGAACATTATGTATTGGGCGGTTTCGTTGAATGTTTTTGATCTGAATATGCCGTAATTTAAAGCGACCGCTGTGTAGTCGTTAATTAACTGTAGTACCTAAAAAAATGTTTTTGTATCAGACTTGATCGTAGAGCAGATAAAACTAATTTGAATTATAATAAAAGGGAGTAATTTTAATGAAAAAGCTAGGTTATCTCCAAAAAGAATTAATAGATATTAGAAAAACGAAAATCAAGCTATTAAAATTGAAAATAAACAGCTTAGGTTATTATAATACAAAACACTAAAAAGAGATCTAATATATAGTTATTTTTAAATTAAAAGAAAAAACTTTCAAGCTTGTGCGAAATCGAAGAATTCATATACATAATCTCGATCTGCTCATAAGATTGTTTGAAGTCAAAGAGAGAAAATGCGTATTTATATGTATCTGCCCAATTTAATACCAGAAGTACTAAAACCAAAATTATTTACCAAATAAAATAACTAGTACAGCGTCTATTGCTCACCTTAAGACCAGCAAGTTCGGCAGCTTGAAACAAAGCCTTTCTTTCCACTTGATTAAAGAAACCAGGCACCGTTAAGACGCACTCTTTAATCGGTTGCTGCGCACCAGCTTCCGCGAATTCTTTAGCTTTCCCCAACATTTGAGCGATCAATTCTTCGACGCTAAAAGACGTTTCATCGTCGATTTTGAATAAAATCGTTTTCCTTTCGGGTTCCTCTACTATATTGTAATGGGGAAAACGTTTCTGATATAATTTCACTAAAGGATGATCGATACTTTTTCCGATTAGATCTAACAAGTAACTGAATGCTTGTTTGGGGAATCTGACGCCTACAGTTTGAGCGTCTTCGCCGAAGAGTCTGATGTTATCTCTAAAACTAAGTACGGCTGGAGTTTTACGTTTAGATTCTTTGTTAAGAGCTATTTCCATGGGTACTCCGGGTGAAACGTATCCTACTTTCATCCATTCTGAACCTGAATAAAGAAATTTTAATTTGTTTGAATAGTTTTTAATTTTAATGAAGTAATTACTCACCTAAATCTACTGACATAACGGCTAAACTGTTCACGAAAGATACTCCTGCGTAACATAGTAGCAGGAGTGCTAAGTTAAGAGACAATTTCATGCTTGATAATCTAAAACAAAAAAGACAAGTTAATAAAATATAAACGAAAATAAAATTCTCAAAATCAGTACGACACAAATTTATTTTTTATTAAAAACTACTTGTTAACTGGGTAATGTAACAAGTAGTTTTTGATAAAAAATAAATTTGTGTGTTACTGATTTTGAGAATTTTATTTTCGTTTCTGAAAATGGACACATTCAAGCAGTTGAATAACCTCTAAGATTGAATAAAATATGTTATCTTGTATTATTTTTTTCTACACCCACACGGTATTAGCTTATCTACTCACAGACTACAAAAACAAAAATTACGAATATTTTTCTTATTCATTCTACCTAGTAAGAACAAAAAAAAAATAATCCAATCACAGTTCATATTTTGGTCCCCCTAGTATTTCTAAATTTTATATAAGTTACCATTCTGTCAAACTGTCAGTAAATTTTTTAGTTATTGAGATTAAATATACGTAAAAATGAGTTATTCTTGTGTAGAATCGGTAAATAATATTTCTATTTTTATTTCGTTTATATTTACAAATCATAAATTTTAATCAAACTATATGAAACTAATTCAATTACGAGTATTGAAACCAAAATGATAAGTGTCTTAATGGAGGTGAGACCAGGGCGTTTGGCTGCCATGTGAGAGGCCCGGGTTTAAATATAGGTTGGCGACTAATTAAATTAAATCTTTCTTTAAAGAATATTTTATAAATTAGTAAAAGTCATAAATTATTTTAAAATTAGTATTTGTCTTAATAACTAAAAATAATATCTAAAACTTATAGATTTTCGTAAGTTAGTCGTAGAAAAAATATACTGTAAAACTCGAGTGGATTGTACAAACAACTATTTTTACGGCATTTCTTTTATATTTCATTTCTTCTATTTCATTTTATATCTTTTATTTCCTTTATTTATTTTATTTCATTTCTTTTATTTCTTTTATTTCATTTCTTTTATTTCATTTCTTTAATTTCAATTTCTTTTATTTCTTTTATTTCATTTCTTTTATTTATTTCTTTTATTTCATTTCATTTCTTTTATTTCATTTCTTTTATTTCTTTTATTTCTTTTATTTCTTTTATTTCTTTTATTTCTTTTATTTCTTTTATTTCTTTTATTTCTTTTATTTCTTTTATTTCTTTTATTTCTTTTATTTCTTTTATTTCTTTTATTTCTTTTATTTCTTTTATTTCTTTTATTTCTTTTATTTCTTTTATTTCTTTTATTTCTTTTATTTCTTTTATTTCTTTTATTTCTTTTATTTCTTTTATTTCTTTTATTTCTTTTATTTCTTTTATTTCTTTTATTTCTTTTATTTCATTTCTTTTATTTCTTTTCTTTTATTATTTCTTTCATTTCTTTTATTTCTTTCATTTCTTTTATTTCTATTATTTCTTTTCTTTTATTATTTCTTTCATTTCTTTTATTTCTATTTCTTTTATCACTAGGTATATTTGCTTTGTTCGCGGTAACAATCCTGAACCGAATTATTACTAACAGTAACGATTTCGCAGGCGCAGTAGTCAAAAAGCGTTCGCGGAACAAAAAGAACTGAACTATTGGTTCTATTCTGCGTTCGCGGTAAAATAATTATTGGGTTTGGACCGCTTCTCTATACCTGAAATACCGAGATATAATAGGGATTGCGCGCCCGGTAAAAATTCAGAATTGATGATTCGAGCATGCGCTCACAGTATGAATTAGTAATTCTGAATCAGTTCAGGATTGTTACCGCGAACGAAGCTATTGTTTGTAAAAGATTCATTCAAACAAATAATATTTGTACCGTTCTTTGAACAATCACTAAACTATTTGGACCAATTAAATGCGCATGCGCTCGCTGTTTTCGTTATTTCTACATTGAGAAAAGTATTGCAAAATAACTTATCTGTTTCATAAATATATCGCACAATAAAAAAATAATAAAAGAAAACTAGGTGTAAAAGAAAAAGTTTTAAAATATGCACTACAGTCAAATCTTCAAAACGATCAACCACCATTAATTGATTGGCAATTGAGCTATCCGAGATGACGTCAAACAAAAACCAAGCTGCAGATTGTCTATAGACAATCAATAGTAGTTTATGCAACAGAAATGGATATGATGGCCTAACGAAGGAATACGAAGCACGACGCCATAGGCGGAGTGCTTAATCGTCTGAGTCCGATACGGACAATTCACCCTAGTTGTACAGTGTATTTTTTCTACGACCCAGTAACGAAAATTTTTAAAATTAATCTATGACTTTTACTAGGTATAACAAAATAAACTTAAAAAAGATTTTGATTAGTTCTCAATCCTGGATTTGAACCTTTGACTTTGATACAGATAAGGAAAGTATAGGAATCATGATTTTTTTCGACCTCGAGTTTTCGACGGATTTTTACGTTTTGGGGTCCCCTGAATCCATTTTGACTATTTTCGGGATGATGTCTGTGTGTGTGTCTGTATCCACCATAACTCATGAATCGATACAAAGAAAAACACCAAATTTTAAACTTAAGCTTTATTCTGGCGTCCAATGAACTGATTAGATTTTGGGCAGAGTCGGAACATCTGGGGGGGGTACTTATAGGTGGTCATTTTTATATTTTATGGAATGTATCTGTTATTTACGTTTGGAGAAGAAAATTCTTCAAATAAAAGTTACTTCTAATATTATTATCTATAATTTTTGCTTTTTGTCAAATTTTCCTGAAATTCGAGAAATTTGACAAAATGTGCAAAATTCTAATTTTTAAGAAAATTGTTAAACTAAAAGTTGTTTGCGATTCCGATCTCTATAATTTTTGTTCATACATGATTTTTCTAAAATGGACCGTAATGGAAAAATTGGAGGAAAAGTGCTAAATTTAAATTTTTCAGTATTTTCGTTTTCAATGAATATCTATAGAAAAATATTTCGAGGTAGATGTAGGTGGAAAATGGATATATTTAGTTTATCCTCTAATTTACGATTTATTTGTAAATTAAAAGGAGAGAAGATACAATTTGCTCAAAAGGCCAAATATTTGGAAGTCATCTTTGACCATAGGTTAACATGGAATCAACACTTGAAAGTCATCCAAAAGAACACAACAGCTTTCAACTTATGTCGATGGTTGTGTGGAAAAAATTGGGGACTACAACCGAAAATGTCCCTATGGCTATATATACAGGGTGTACCAATAAAAACTCCCAGGCCGGGTATTTTGGTAAGTAATAGAGATATTTTAATTCTGTAAGAGCCAGTTATAGAGCGTGAAGAGAGCTTCAGTTTTAGATATAAATTAATTTTAAATAGGTCAATATGTAGATGGCGCTGCGCTCAATAATTTGTTTTCGATGGGAGGATCTTTCTTATGTAGCGCATCTGGTAAAAAAATGCATTTTTAACCCCCTCCCTTCCACTCTTCCAACCCCTTAATTTTAAATAAGAAATGTACCATGTATGGCACATCATTAAAAAGGGAATTTTATGGGGAAGTCAGAAATATGACAGTTTATTGCGATACTTTTAATTTTAGCGCCCTCTATCGGGATAAAAAAATCTGTAACGTATTATAAAGTGTGACACTTCATTTGAAAGCTAATTGAATTATTGATTCAATGCACCACATAACATTAATATAAATATTTCCATATTACACTTGCAACAAAATAAAGTTAGCAATAATGTTTAAAATAATGCATGACTAATTTTTAAACTATTGCAAGTGCAATATGGAAGATATTTTTATTAATATTATGTGGTAGATTGAATTAGTAATTAAATTTGCTTTCAAATAAGGTGTCACACTTTAAAATAAGTTGTTTTTTATCCCGATAGTACAATTAAAAGTATTGCAATGAGCAGTCATATTTTCTAAATTCCCCATAAAATTTCCTTTTTAATGATGCACTACACATTGTAGTATCACACTCTATAATACGTAGTAGTTTTTTATCCCGCTAGAGGGCGATACAATTTAAGTAACGCAATGTACAGAAATATTTCTGAATCCCCCATTAAATTACTTTTTCAATGATGTGCCATACATGGTACATTATGTATATAAAATTAAGGTGTGGAGAAGTGAAAGGGAGGGGGTTGATACATGACAGATGTCTGTATTGTAAAAATGTTTTTAATTTGGAATAAAAATCGACCTGTTTTAGCATTTTCTTCAAATCCAAAGATTAATGCTGAAAAACAGGATGAAACTGTTTTAAGTGACCCACTCTGTATATCGAAAATGGCTAGATATATCGAATTAGTTCATAGAACAAAATCTGCTTAAAAATGCATTTTTTACAAGATGCGCTACACAAGAAAGATCCTCCCATCGAAAAAATATTATTGAGCGCAGCGCCATCTACATATTGACCTATTTAAAATCAATTTATATCTAAAACTGTAGCTCTCTTAGTGCTCTGTGAACTGGCTTTTGCAGAATTAAAATATCTCTATTAGTTACCAAAATATACGGCCTGGGAGTTTTTATTGGTACACCCTGTATATGAGTCACAAGGACTATGGGTGGTATGGTGGCCAAAGACTCGGCAAGCTGGAGCCATTCGACAGCTCAATGGTATTTAAAGACAAGCATGCCTGAATACCACAGGAGCCATGAGAATGACTCCAACACACATCTACCACAACCCATTCATAAGTATTGTTTGTTTACACACCAACATTAAACGTCAGATCAGGTTGAAAATGGCGTCGTTGTTTACATTACTGATATTATTGCCATGGGCGTATCATTAACAGGAAAATTGTACAGTAATAAAAGAATTCTGTTAAAATTTTTATTTATATATTTATTTACACAATGATGTATTATTCAAAAGCTAAGAATAACGATATTTAAACAATTTATAAATAGTATGATGACCAATGTAACATTTTAAAAATATATTTTAAAAATATAATATTGCTAATACACTATTAATTTACAGAAAACTGTGCAATTTTCTAGGAAAGGTTTCAAGAAGTATGATATTTGAGGTCTAAGATACTTACATATATATTGGAAATAA